CCTTGCCGGTGATGAATTCTTTTTGGGAATGGCACACTTCTTATTTCATACAGCATCGTAGTGGCTTATTCAGTGCAATAAGGCGATACACTGAGCCAGCCATGTGCAGGTCAGTGCTCTTATCCTCCCAGACAGGACTGGTATCGGTCTGCCTTCCCGGGACGTGGAAGGATTGATTGGCCTGGGTTGCGAATATGAAAATAAAAACTGCTCTCTGAAACTTACGAGCTTTGAGCAATCAAAGTGGGTTACTTACCAATAGATAATCTAGCAAAGTTATTAATCCAACTTACACTGACTGGGACAAGCATATAGTTGACAGGCTGCTCGAATGTGATTCGAGTAAACATTTTCAGAAGGCGATAAAACTCATCTGTCACCTTTATTACTGATTTCTCTTCTTACTTAAAGGCAGTTGGCACGATAAATCCCTGAAGACGAGTAGGATTGATACGCCTGGCAGGACGGAATTCCGCGCCCCTGAGCAGGCGCTGCGCAGCGCCCTTTCCAAGGAAGGTACCCTTATAAGGGCCCTATCAAGCTACAACATACCGACCCGAACGCCCACCACGCCCGCCCGCCCACAAATGGACGACCGTTCCTGACGCTCGTATTGATTCATTTGCTAAGTAAAATTATGAAGCGAAGGATTGGTATGAAGCGGCTGCGGTGCTGCATGGATATATGAGTACATACATGCAGCCGTATCTACCGTAGCGGTTATTGGCAAGATGCCTACGGAAACTCGTCCGAAATTGCTTTTTGAGTCATTAAGAACGAAGGCTTTTCTTTGCAGGTTTTTGACCGTTTCACTCCGTTCTTTCGCCATTTTCCCCACTATATAGCGTCCTGTTAGCATTTTAGGCCGAGTACCAAATTATCGTGCCAAGTGCCTATAATATTAGGTTGGTCCGGAAAGTTCTGAGAAAATTTGACACTTTACTTTGAAGAAGTGTAGCAAGCGAATGCCCCAACAGAAAGTCATATATCAAGTGCTATGAGAAAGAGAAATGTTTGTAGATCAATACTAATGCTGGTTGTTATTATTCTCCATTGTTGGTATGATTTGACATTACCTGAAAAATGTACGAGCGCGCACGACTCTCAACGCCTTCTACTTCATCCTCACCGCTCTGGCTCCTCTATCGGTCAAATCGGGAATAAGGAACCGCCTCCGATGGTGATAAAATGCACTTCAAAATTATCTTAGGAGATCATTCGGTCTCTTCCATGGAAGTTCGCTTAAATGTTGCCGTACATTCTCAGTACTGGCTTAGTTCTAGCTCCAGCGCAAGGTAATCCCGCCCAAAAGCTAAAGGACATAAGATGGGAAATATTTATTGCTGATAAAGTGGTTAAATGAGCTGGTTGAAATTTCTCAAAACATTTCCGGACACCCTAATATTATGAAATGGTGTGGTGAAAAATGGCAAAAATACCATACGCGCAGTCCATGCGTCAAATCCGGGTTCGGCCCCTACACAGGCCAACTAAGCTGTCTGCCTTTCAGGTACGGTGAGCTGGTAAGAAAGCTTTTGAAAGGATAGCAAACACTAGCATGTGCACCGGCTGGCTCACACCGCTTTTCAATGGAAATAAAGCGCGTGCCGCATCCCAGAAAAAGGACCTATCAACGCTAGGAGACTTTATCTTTCTACCCCTTTATTAAGAAAGCAAAAACTTTGATGCTTGCTCGTGGCACAGTATAAAACTGAGCTCCCCACCTATGGAGATAGTAGAGCTTTCAAAAGTCGTCCGAGATGGCAAAAACACTGAGCTGTGCAACGACAACCTCTCACAGGGCACCGTATTGACGAAATCGCATTCAAAACTGTTATGACACTGTCAAGTTCACATTTTTCTTTTATTCTCCCTTTGAGTTTAACACTATACTACACACCACACTACACTACACTGAGTTCTTTCTCGAGTATTTCTTAGACATTTACAATATTTCAGTGTATTTGAGCATCACTTGAGTGTATAAAACTAAATGACTATGTAAATAAATGATACCGACATTTGGTAGAGTGCGTGGCGCAATTAAAAAAGATTGAGCAGCTCTTAATGCATCCGTTTTTGTAGAACTATTTTAAGGAAATACAATCAGTACTATTTCCATTGAAATTCCAAGTGACTCACATACATGGCAGCAGTCCAGTTTTCATTGTTATTCAATTGTGTGTGTTGCTTAGGTGTAAGTAGTCGCGTAGGAATGTCAAAGGCAAAGGCGAAGGTCATAAAAAACGTTTGTTGCCAATTTACTACGCAAATTATTTGTTCCACTACTTTGCTCTCCTCTGAGTATAAAATCTCCCGATGATCGTTAACATCAGTTTATCAACTCCTCTAGGCCAGGTAAGGAAAAACTTACCTTCACTTCTCTATAGCCAATTTTGCTTGAATCAGTACTCAAACTCTGTTTTGTTCGGTATTCGAGTAATTCCTTCCTTTCTGAAAATAATATGTTCATCAGGGCTGTCTTATTGGATCCTTCCAGGAAGAAAGCAGCAGACCATGAACGGGAAAGGAGCAGCCTATGCGTCCATAGCGCTTTCCATTGGTGCCACGACGATGATAGTCCTTCTGGCAAGTCGTCTCTCTACGAAACTTGGTGAAATATCTGCTGAAGTCGAAAGCGATATGCGCGACTTTCGAGACATGGAAAAGCAGGCCACGTGAGTTTCCGCCTGTTAGACGTTCTTTGTGGGCACCCGAAACTGGTTCAACCATGCATTCTAGTACAAGTAGAATTGTAGATATCACGTGCGTGTAGCTCGTTCCACACGACGCATTCTGCATCCTCATCGTACCGTACACAACCGTCCTAATCGGCAAACTACGGGCCAATGTCAGTGCAACGGTGAGAATAACTGCCCGTCTGGACCGGCCGGTATACCCGGTCAACCAGGAGAGGATGGAACGCCAGGTCTACCAGGTGAACGTGGAGCTCCGGGTGCTCGTGGAAACGCTCCTCCAGTCACCTTGGATGCACGTGGACAATGCAGGTAATTTTTTGTTGCAGCTCTTGCAGCCAAGGTACAGGCTCAGGAAGATTGCAACTGTGCTTTTAGAGTGTGCCCTAACGGTCCTCCTGGACCACCAGGCCCACCTGGTCAACAAGGTCGGCCTGGACCCGATGGTCCAAATGGAGGTGGATACGGTTCCTCACCACCGGGTCAACCTGGACAACCAGGTAAGGGCTTTTGAAAGGAGTTAATAGGATTACTTGAAAAGCATACCGTTTTCAGGACAAGCCGGCGAAGCCGGAAGGCCGGGTAATCCAGGTAAAGCAGGACCTCCCGGTGACCGTGGAAGCGATGGAACCAGAGGTGGCAAAGGACCCAATGGTCCAGCTGGTCAACCGGGAGCCCCTGGAGAACACGGTCAAGCTGGCGAAAATGGCCCACCCGGCAGGGATTCCATGTCAGGGGCACCTGGTCCAAGTGGACCTGAGGGACCACCAGGTGAAGCTGGAATGCCTGGAATGCCTGGACAACCCGGTCAACCTGGAGGACCTGGCAAAGATGCTCACTACTGTCCTTGCCCCGGTCGTGGCTCTGTGCTGCTCAGTGCCAATGTCAATGTTCACATGCGAGGTCGCGCACGAGCTGTTGCAGCTGTTGCACGAGGTCGCGCACGAGCTGTTGCACGAGGTCGTGCACGTACACACGTCATTCGCAAGAAGGTAAAGAAGGTCAAGAAAGCCTAAGTTAGTTATGTGTGAGATGAATAAAAGGTCACTTTCGAATTGTTTCAACATTTCAATAACACAAAGGATGGTGGGCATGGTGCACGGAAGTTCAGTAGTGTAGGCGAGGACCAAGACTTCCAAACCAAAAAAGTCGCGCCAGTTAGGAAGTAGAACAGTTCAGGAAAAAGCACTTGGAAGCAAAAGTCCCATTGAACTCATATAAGCAGTAATTCTCGTATTTGTGCCGCGTGTCCTGCTACGAGGAAGGTTCCAGAGGTTTCCTTATGATATGGAGGTTTCCGCCTTTTCATAGCATGAGAGTGGCAAATCTTGACTGACTCCGAAGGCAGCCTTAAAACATGGGCTCATCAACATACATACAAGTTTCAGCACTGTTTGTCGGAGGACTTCACTCTCACTCTCGTTTCACGCGCCCGTCCCAGGAAGAGGGGCAGTCACTCCAGGGAGTGGTTAGAGGCGTGGCATGGGAACAACGACAGGAGATGGCTGCTGATGATAAAATTAAGATAAGAAACGATAGAAGAGACCAGCAACTTCACTGCGCGGTTCACAGCTGCAGTAGGAATTTGTTCTAACACAAGATATAGGGGGTGGACGGGAACAGAGACGTTAATCTGGCACTCGATCTCGAATGACGAATAAAGCCTTTTTCTACACAATCAGTGATCAGGGATGCTGCAGCTTGACAGAGCGCTGTAGGGGTAACTTTCCCCAAAAAAAGTGCAACGCACAGCCCGCCAGGGAACCGAATTCTGTCATTAGGCGTGTTAATCCCACATCTCTTATGAGTTTATTGTGCCACTTCCATGCAATAATCGATGACAGGAAGGGGTAGCAAAAGGGTAGAGCATCGTTGTGCGAAACCCATGGGGGGGGGTCGTACGTAGTCGCTGGGGAGGGGGGGGGTCGTAACCTCAAGGGTCAGTCAGCGCCGGGCAATGCTTTGACATTTCAGTTGATAGTGGGAGTGGAGCTATGGAAGCCAAGATGTTAAAAAAATGAAAATTATTATGAGTGTATTCTTTACAGATTTAACTGCTACGTTTAACAGCCCTCTTTTCATGCAAAATCCCCAAAAATGGGTTCGTACTTGGCCGCGGGGGACGTGGGGAGTATCGCAAAAGTAGGCTCGCTAGGCATCAAACAGTACAAAAGTGTCATTGCTAAGTTTGATGGAACGACGGAAAGCTGCAGAAGACCCGGACGAAATAATAAAAATAGCAATATAGCAAGAATAAATAAATCGATATCAATTAATAGCATGAACTCGTAAGTACGTAGATGACTAAATAATGTCTCAAACAGATTCGTGCGTATTGTCCTTTCCAAACCCTAAACAAACATCTGCTTGCATGGATAAAAGCACCTGAAATCAGAATTTACCTTTCCACCACCTCTGCGTAGGAGCGTAATGCACGGCGCACACTCGGACCAAATCGATCAGTGATAGCCGAGCTCCTCTTTCACTCATTTGAAGGGAAATATGTGTTTTGAAGGCACACTAAAGTTTCCGAAGGTGTATCCTGACAATGGCACACAGGGAGTCGAACTTTTGAGTAGCTCAGAGGGTAGCTTTTTGGTAACCCATCTAAAATATCTCCTGATCTAGCGGGTCTTCAGGAAAACTGTAAAGCTTGTTGGAAAGAGAAAAGATAGGGCGCTCTGAAGACGGTTTTGGTTCTGATGAAATTGCGTTCGAAATAAGTAATCCTCGTGTGAAGCATAAAAACCCGCTTGCGATTTACCCCTAGCTCATCCGAAACCCATCCGAAATATTTCACGAACGGGGAAACATTCAGATTGCAACTAGGTAGAACGCAACAGTAGGAACATTGCCTTTGCATAACCATTCCTCAAAAGCCTGCTGCTAACCATTCCTCAAAAGCCGCGCACCTAAAAGAGATATAACCCCCTGAAAAGACCCCAGGACGTTGGCAGGTCCAACAACCGCGCTCCAATGACGTTTTTCCAATGAAAGCGGTCGCAACGTTGCGATCGATAATAGCCGAGTATAGAACGATATACTGCCGCCTGGTTTTTTTTCATTTGGTTCCGCATTTTTTTTTGTATTTTTCATGTTTCGCTTTGTTGTGTCGTGCATGTTTTCATGATTTCCCCGTCACCATTCATTGAATGCACATCTGGGGCCTGACACGCTGACCTTGGGGCTATTTTTTCACCAATTTAGCTTATCAATGATCACCATTAGTCGCTGTTTCGATTGTGTTCCTTGTTACAAGTTGCATGTCATACATGGTTGTCGAACGACGAGTTTTATTTTGAATCCTAAGACAAAATTGTAGGTAATGCGAGGCTGTTGTTCAGCCTCATATTGCATGAGGCTGAAACAGCCTTTATTGCCTGGATTTTAGAGCAGAGTCCGCCTTTCGAAAATCCAGATTCCATTTCAGGAAGCCATTTGTGTGAACATGCATCTGGTTGTCAGTTAGAGCAGGAGGGGGGGGGGGTTGGACCCTCTTCGAGGGGGGGGGTCGTACTCACACCGCCATTTCGCACATCCCAATGCTGTGCCCTGGGTAGCAATTAATAGGGCTGATAAGGACGTTGCTGTCGTCGTCGTCCTCTAAGGAGAAAGTGTATTCTACGTAGATCCTGATTAAGGTGAATGAGTCCGCAGCTGCAGTAGCACGCCACTTTCTCCACTCAAACTGCATAGGAAAGAGGCTGAAGGGATGTGATATCTCGGCGCCTAGTCCATAGTCCGCCCCGCGATACCGCGCGACCGGCCTTGCACGTAGCCATGGTGAAAGGGCGCTGCTTCCCTTCTTGCTTTCATTTATGGTTGTTCTCTACTGCTGAGCAGGCGTTTCGCTGCGGGACGTGGATAACAGCGCAAGTGTTGCACGTGAGGGATAACAGTATTGTAAGCATAGAGACCGAGTCGGTTGCCACTTACCCTACAGCCCGTTCCACACTCCCTGGGAACGGAAAAAATGCAGGCCATATTGCAGCAAGGACCCACCCATCTCGCACATGGGATTAACTGCTTGGAAGGTGAGTGTACTGTTTCGATTTCTCTCATTGAGGTGGTGGAGCATTCACACTCTCTAATCCTAATGGCCCATGACAGGAACATGGATGCGAGGTGACAGGATAATGGCATCAATCGATAAGATCAGATGAGGAGAAATGAATAAGAGAAGGCTTTTCATCACATTTTCCAAGTTCATACCGCTGCCTCAGCCCCAGTGATTGACCACGTGTATTGACCCTTCAGTGTACAAGATGACGTAGTACGTGATCAGTGAGGTTATTTACTCTGGTAGCTCAAAACGCTAGAAAAAAGCTCGAAGGCTCAGCGACCATGAGCTGACTCTGCCTTTATCATTTTCCCTTCTCACGACTCTATAGCGGTGGAATGTGCTAGGTTTTTGCGTTGATTTTGCCCACTCTGGCTTTGGTCACTATTTTTAATGGGATTCATATTACAGCATATAAAATCATACTATCGATAATATTTTCTAATTTCTTTTACATTCTTACACTTTTTCAGCTATGGCCTCATATACATCGTAGTCATCGCACGGTGGTGCACTTGCCTTTTAGAAGCAGAGCCCGTCGTACATTAGGGATTCTCAGCTAGGGAGTCGTATTTGGTTCCTGCAGGGAGGGGATCGTGATTGTCTTTAGTGGGTGGCTTTTTTGGTATTTTCCGCCTCACTGCGAACACTCTTTAGCTCTCGCCAGAACTAGGGGAATTCTACAGAAAAAAATCTCAGAAAAAAGGTGCAATTCGGAAGGATTCGAGAAGGCACCAGTAAAGTGGGGAGTGAGGAATGTAGGGGGGAGGGGGGGGGCATACCGGAGAGGGAATTCTGAAGGGTCGTATGTTGCAAAATTCCTCCCCAGCGGCAGGAGGTGCCCTGTTTTGTTTTGGAAGCGAAACTTCTTGCAAAGTCCAGTCTTAAGTGCAGGAGCGGCCAACGTCAACCCAATTCCCGGTAGTTTTCTTATGTCTGCACAATTCTTGCGAATAATACTTCAATATTAGCATTTCATGAGGTTTCTAATATTCATGAATAGAAGCTAATGGAAAGCGCAAAGAAGTTCCACCAAGATTTCCTGGAATGCGTAGAAGGTAGTTTGAAACAAATGGAACTACGTAATCAGAGCTGAACGCTTTGGTTGGATGCTTTCAATTTTATTCTGAATTATAGTAGGACCAGTTTGGCTGACGCGCACTACTGCGCGCATAGTTCAGTCTGTCGTCCTGGTCAATGATTTCTGTGCTGACCCCTAACACTTGGCCTAATTCTCTTGTTTCAAAATCCGGCCACTTTCATTATATTTCCACCAGTCGGATCACCCGGCTGCCGCCGGGTGCTCCTATTTCTGTTTCGCGGCCCGGCTTCGCCCGGGCCCACCTGGCTTCGCCAGGCACTCTTCCGTTGGGCGGAGTAGGATGCGCTAAATGTGCAAAATGATGACAGCAATTTTTCTATTGAATGCAGGAAAATGAGTTGAAAATAGCTCAACATCAGTCACTATCTACCAACAACTGGTCCCCCTTGCTTACTACAGACTTTCAACGGTGAGAAAGCTGCCCCCATATTATAGAGGACCGCAGTTGCGACAACAGAATGGGTAAAGGTGAATTAGGATGAGCTCTTAATAACCGGAAGAGGCATAACTGCAGAGTAATGGGTGGCACTGAAAAGGAGAACTCCACATTGCTTGTACATATAAAAGTTTGTGTCGCGGACAGAGCTCGAATGACACCGATGGGACGCTCCCACTCCCAATTGTTGGGTTCCCTCCTTGTTTTCTTCCAATTACGACCGCCACCTCCTAACACACATAACACACATCACGTGTCAGGCAACTTTGGGCGAATAAACTTTTTTTTTGAATTGGTGGAAATTTCTCAATTGTTCCCGTTTCAGCGCGGCAACTATATACGTCCCCCCCTCCCCTCCTCGCCGCTTCGACCACCACTGCATGCATGCTGAAAGGCAAACACTTCCATCTGGAAAACT